CCCACTACATTTGCAATAAATCAATATATGTGTTTAGTTAAATTTACTAAAAGAGGTACCTATATTCACATATGTACATACGTACCTATAGACATAAAACTCTAACACACTTTTGTTCTCTATAACGTAAAATTTAAAAGGTTTAGTACTTCTGCCTATTTGAGTTGTAATACTTGCAATACGATATTAGTTGGGTATTTTTTTTAACAAAGCACTTTAAAACAGATAAATAATTTTCTAAATAGCAAGAAAAGTTAACTTATTTTTTTATTCCTCGAATTTCGGCGGCAATGAAATCACTAGGTATTTGTTGATAAATAATGGGCAACCATTAGTGCATCTATTTTAGGCTGATCATCCGATTCCTACATCCATTTCATTATGAAAATGAAACAAAATACTGCACAAACTCGGCGACCGTTGTAAAATGACATCACATGTCACGTGACTGTTAGCGGGACTCGAAATTTATCGTAAGTTTAAATGCCTATAAAATCAAAACTAATGGGTATTTTTGACTAAAACAAAAACTAATATATTTGTATACATACAAGCTTTATTATAAAAAACTTTCAACCGATTTGGCAACATTCTTCATTGAGTTTGTGATCTTGTATTCGATTTTTTTTTAATTAATTCAGAATAATTCAAAAATCCTTACTATTCTCGAAATCTCTTCAATATTTTTTTATATCTTATAATATTTTATCGTTAGAAAAGAATATTTTAAATATTAACACCAAAGGTAAAAAGGACCACCACATGTTACCAACAACATTCCAAAAACATTATCCTACATGATGGGATGATCTCAATCATATGTCTTTTCAGTCATATGAGTATATCTAATCTTATATAAAATAGAATGAAAGACATAACGTAATCTATAATTCGCCATTAATATATAAGCAGCAAGAAATATATTAGGGGGCATATTTCTCAGTTTTCTTTACCGTATATATTAACATATTATTTAACAATATATTCTGTACAAACTTCATCTTTTTCCATCCTATTTCCTTCAGCAGTTGTTATGTGAAACGAACATAAAGACATTTTTCGCATCGTCACGATTTTACGATTTTATTACATGTAAAGATAAAGAAGTAGATATGATTTGCACCTGGAATATATTATTGTAGATTAATTCAAACAACTTATTATGCGTCATTTTTTATTTACCTTTTTTCAAAAAAACTTATTTATATTCCGTTGCATTGTAACTGTAATTGTTACATTTGATCGGCACCTGACGGCCACGGTGGTAAAGCGGTTCAGCACAGCGCTTTACATCCGATTGTACCGGGTTTGATTCATCGCACGATGTAAAAAATTCATGTGGATGATTGTTTTTATCGGACTTTACAAAAAAAAAAGAATTTATTAAGTATTATATCAGTTGTCTAGTACCCACAACACAAGCCCTGCTAACTTGGAACTAGATGGCTCTGTATAAATAGACCATGTAGGGTTATTATTATTATATATTTTCTATTCATATTGGCACAGATAACACAATATTACATAATAATACATAAGTCACATATAACTTGGGCTATTAAATACCAAGTTTATACCAAGTCGATATATGTGACTTGGTATAAACATTCGTCATATTTATTTTATGTTCGACTCCTTTCAAAGTTTTCTTATACAGCGATGGCAATCAGTCATCTGATGGTAAAGCGTTACCGTAGCCTAAAACACGCAGTAGTAGTAAGTACTACTCGTGTGTTAGTAGTGTCCACTTGGGCTTGCTACTGTAGTTGAGTAGAACTGACATGAAACTGAACTAGTGTTATTTCGTTATTATTAAGAAGGTAATAATGATTAGGTATGATAATATGACACAATGTTAGTTGGAATGAATTATTGGTGCAAATAGACAATAGAAATATAGAAATATTTTTTTATTCTCGTATAATCCTGATAACTCATATAAAGTTAGGGAATATAAGCTAGTTAGTTAATAATGAGAAATAAATGCACTAGAATAACAAATGCCGTCGGCGATGCGCTGCGTCTAACAAGCAAATATAATGGCAGAGGGTAATGTGAAGGTGGGGAGTTGGAAGCGATTAATACCCAAGTTATGTTTAAGTAGTCTTTGCTTCATAAAGTATATTCATATTATTCAACTATACTAATATTATAAAAAGCAAAGGTTTCTTATTATGCTTGTATTTTTTTATATATTACACAGCTGTGGCAATAAAGTATATAATGGTCATATGATGCTAAACGATTAGCATTTTCTATGCATGCTCGTAAGGTAAACTCAAAAATATCAAATTATTTTAACTATAAAAAGATACTATTTCTAGAATTGTCAACGAAGAACAACGGCAATTTTATGGTATACAAAAAAATTGTTTCCTATAATAATTAAATTCGTGTAATTCCGGGAGGTAATCTTATCTTAATAATAATAATATTATAAACGCAAAACTTAGTGAGTATGGATGTTTGTTACTCTTTCATGCAGAAACTACCATTTTGATGAAATTTTACAGTAATATAGCTTTTGCATCAGAAGAGCGTATAGGCTATAAATTTCATGCGAGTGAAACCGTGAGCTTGATGTATTTGTATAATTATATAAGTTAATTGTGAATTTGTTACTAATAACTTAAAGCCAAATTTTTGCCCATTGCTTACAGTTATATACATGTGAATTTATATTATGTAATTATGTATTATTTTATGTAAAATAACTAAAATCACATCTTAACATTGTCAATTACTACTTTATTTGAACAGACTATTTTTCTTATTCATAACAATAATAAACATTTAATATAGCTATTTTAGATATTGAATAGAATGTTTCTTATTTCGCACTATTCTATTAGTTTAAAGCAAAGTGACAGAACACCAATAACTTAATAGTAAAAAGGTTTTAATTTCTACACATTGAGGGAGCTATTTCTATTCTAGTCTTTTCTATAGTTGTTTACATGCACATAATACATATCATAAATACATTGAGAATCTACAATTATTAATATTGTTAATATTAGCACTTCACTTCACTAACTTACCCGAAAATTCTAGATTTGATTAAATACAATTTTTATTAGGACGTCTTCGTTTGTTGACATAAATGACCTATATGATATTACCTTCGTTACGTGAAATCAGCATAATAATTTAATAAAGTTATTAACATCAACTATAAATAAATAAAATAATGTGTGGGGATCATAATTTTATATTACATAAATTGTGATCCTTGATTCGAATTTGTTTTGAATTAACCTTTATCGTTATGAAAATTACAAAGGTTGTCAAGTGTCATATTAATCTTTCTATTGGGGGTATTACGTATATAAATAAACGCTTTGTTAATGATAAGGGCAAAGTACCATTCTGTTAGGTGTACACGTAATAATCTGTAATACTAGTTAACCCCGCGATTTCTGTCCGTCGTAATCGGAATAATAGTTCATAATGTTTACATTTTTTAGTTGTAAACAATTAGATTAAAATGAGCGCTATAATAGAAACTAGCTCAAAACGTTTCTGTGGCCGACCACAGTGCTCTCAATAAGCACTGTAATGTATTCTGTGAGTGGCCATTTCTCTGAAATTAAAACAAAATATCAATATTCATGTAGGTCTATTACAGATTCTTATGATACGTCAAACCTACCATCAAATCTATTAATTAATCTGTGCATGTACTATCCATTGAGGCATTGGAAAAAGCAATCGTCGCCGATACATGTATAGCGCCACGGATATTACGTAATTATATGTACTCATGCATTGCCATGAGGACAGGTTGACACATTTCAGTAAAATTACAGGAGAATGGCATATTGCCTCCCTATAAATATATCTGATAATTTTTTAACCTGTCATCGCAGACAGCTGTGTTTTATAAGTTATTATCCGTAATTTAAAACTCTGTTATGTTTAATAAACGTTTAAATTTTATTTAATTATCTTCTTAATTAAAACTTAACACATATATTATATGAAACTTATTAAGCTACGCTAATACCTTTTTAATAACAAAATAAAATCGTAGCCCTTAAACGGTAGACTTTAAAAATTGAGACTAAAAAAAATTTGCTAATGAAATAATTTGAAATGTTTTTCTTTCCATTCCTTCCTTCTGAACAGTTTGGTTAGAACGTCAAAATTTTCTATGTATTATATTTAACTAAATAAATATCTAATTTACATTAAGATGAATACGGAACCAGTTTATAAAAGATCATACCTAAAAAAAATTAAGTCTTTCAATAATTTATAGCGTTCAGTATTATAAAGTGGTATTTATAGTTCACGATATGACGTATTCAATCTACAGGCCATAAATTTATAAAGATAATCCAACTATTATCTTTTATTCAAAATATATATATATACTGCTTTGAATAGCTAACAAATCATTCAACAGAAGGTAAGTGAACATTTGTTCTTATAATAATAAGAAACGAATTATGTGTTCGCAAATATCTAAGCCTATTTCTACAATAGAGCAGTGTTAATATTAAAAAAATTATATCAACTTAAATTAGTAACTAACTCTCTAGTAATAGACAAATAGTAATAGTTAGCAAGTCTGCGATAAGCTCGATTCTTGTTACACGAAAGTTAATAATCAACTGGTGATGTCATCTTTAACATATTTAATTTTTCTTTTCAAATCGTTAATAGAATTGTTTACTTTATTACATTATTTATATATTATATCATCTATATTTGTTATAATTAGTTAATCAATTACATTTTGTTAATCAATACAATTTGAAATTAATATTTGATCGTTAGCAAAGATCTTAATTTCACTTATCATGTCAATATCATAACAAAAGTTGATCTTAAATATTTTTCCCAAAATGAATCCTTAATAGAAATATTTGCATTAAAGTCGAAAAATTGGGCTGATAATATCACTATGTTCGTTTTCATTAAATTTATTTGTACTGTATTAATTATGAGATAAAACATAATATTTTATTTGTATTAATCAGTTTGAAAACTGAACCATGAAATTCCTGGCTGTATTCGTCGCTGTTCTCGCCGTCGCCTCGGCTTCCCGCCACAGGTGGACTCTGGGTGAGCTTTCCGAAGCTATCCAGAACCCCACCACCAACCCCGCGCTCTTGCCCGTCCTGAAATACGGTCTGAACGCTTACATGGAAGGCATATTCTCTGGTAAAGAGTATGTAAGTACTTTAATGGTTATAATTATTATTTAAACTGGGGACTATTGGCCTCATTATTACAATGTATCATATTAAATCGACCCCCACTGTTTCCCGTGAGAACTATCGCGGTTAATTCCATGTGATTTATTTCGCCACGATGGACTGACTTACCTGACTTCATTCCTCATTTTACCATCGTCATATATGATATATCTCGCTAGCATATATCGTTAGGGCAGGCGTGCGAAGCATACCATTATCAATCCTCAAAGAATATGTTTAATGTGTAAATAAAGAAATTTGACATTACTTATTGATAATAAATATCTTTTTTGCTTCAGGAATACATTTACCTGAGCACTGGCGCCGTTGACTTGTCCACCTGGACTTTGCAAGAACTCTCTCACGCTTTGGAAAACCCCGAGACTGATGTCACTCTTGTGCCCTACCTCGAGGAAGCTCTCAATGCCTTGATGGAAGATCTCTTCGCTGGATCTGCCCAGGTATATAATATCACGACATTAGATTAAAGAAAACTGATATAAATTACTGACATACTTTTTTCTTTACTTAAAACTGTATACTTAATTTCAGCCTGCCCACGCCGTCGTCATCCCCGCTAGAGACCTCTCTTACTGGCAACACAACCAGCTGATCGAAGCTCTGCTCAGCCCCTCCACCAGCTCTGAATTGTCTTCCTACTTGGTCGCTGGTTTGAGCAGCCTTCAAGCTGGTGCCGCCGCTGGTGTGGTACGTCATTCACTTGTTATAACATCGAAGTTTGAATTTTTGGTTTATGTAATATTTACAGATTTACTTAAACCAAGTATATTTAATAATAACTATACTAATGAATCCCTTGGAAAATTCACACAGAGCCATCTAGTCACAAGCATCTAGTCATAGCAAACACCGATACATAGTGTTTGTATAGAGCGGGGAATTGAACCCGTAACCATCGGAAGCAAGGTGGTGTGCTAAACCGCTATACTGCTGATGCCGCCTGATTAACAGAATGTACAATATTCATATTTTTTTTTTCTTATAAAGGAATCCGTCGTCCTGGCCATTCCTCTGCACATCTTGCCTGAACCTGAGGTAGCCATCCAACTGCCCGAGACCATCGTCCAGCCCGAACCTCTGCCCGTCATCCCTGAACCCGAGGTGCCCGCCCCTGAGGTCCCCGCCCCCGAGAGCCCCGCCGGCAGCCCCCTCGTTCAGATCATCCTGAACATCAACCAGGAGGTAAGAAGCTTATTTAGTTTGAGATAATACTAATTATTACTATTAATGCTAGAACATATAACCTAGGTAAAACAGTAACAGTAGTTATTTTATGATGAGATAAGACCGTAGTTAAAACTGAGACGAATTTAGCCTATTAACGTAACTGACTGCGTAGTTATAAATCACTATAGTTTACGGCTTACTAATGAGCATTTTTAATAGTAAGCAAATAAGATACTTTATTTAAAGATGTATTACACGCGCAGTATATCATATTACTATTTTGTTTATAATATTTTAAGCATATTATTGTGTGTGTCTCCATTGACCATGACCATTGAATGATTACCATTTTTATTAATATTTTTTTTTATTTTTACAGTCCGTCAGCGCACCTGCCCCTACACCCATCATCGAGCGCCCCATCCCCGAGATCACCTACGAGCCTGCCCACATCATCGAAAGGCCCATCCCCGAGGTGTCCCTCAACCCCATCGACATTCTGGCCCCCCTTCCCCAACACGCCTAAATCTGACAGCAACGTTGTTTGATCAAATTGGAAACAAATTGATATAATTAACATAATGCTTAACGAAATAAATAATTGATTAATTAATAACTTTTTTTTCATTTTATTTCCACCAGTTATCTAAAAAGTATTGTAACGATCATTCATCATTACCTTGACTTTATCCCATTATGTGGGGTCGGCCCAAGTATTGTAACTATATAATAATATTTAATGAAATACGCAGCCACGTGTAGATTTCAGTATCACGTAAACATTTTAGTTTAGTATTACGTTATAACTAGCTGATCTGTGCAATATCGTCTGCATAACACTTACTGGACATTTATTATGATATTCTGCTCCATTTACATAATATCTTTTTAGTTTATATATATGTGCTATTCTGATGTACAAGCTATAATACTGTAAAGTTTCATCACTATTCGTTCAGTAGTTTTTGCGTGAAAGAGTATAACCATCCATCTCTCCATAGTCACAAAGTTTCGCATTTATAATATTAGTGAGATGACATAATTGATATTTAATTTGTAATTGATATTTCAAATGCTATCCTAGTCATACTAACATTACCATAATGATGATGTTAGTATGACTAGGTTCAGAATATAAAGGTCGTCTTTCAACTGTAGGTCCAAATAATAAAATCCTGTATTTATATTAAATAGTACCTTGTCTATGGAGGATCAGGACATTATTATTAGGTATTGGATTGCCATGCTATATTGGTTGAAAGCTTACATTGATTACATTTAACATACAATTACATTCATTACATTTAACACTGTTCTATTTTGGGGGACAAGATATACGCCGACAACACTCTGTGGTCTATTCAAAGCCTTAAAGACACAGAATATGTATGATTATGATCATGATTTATATTTAAAGAAAAAACGAATATTAGGTAATCTGCACATTTTAGCAATTTCTCATACTGAGTATAATTCTTCGTATGACTGACCGACCTATGACACTTTTTGAAGACTTATTTATAATTATTATTTATACTCTATTGAATAAAATATATCAACTAAATTAATCCAATTTAGATGAGATGCTTTAGTAGTTTAACCAAACCAGTAATAAACATATTTTTAATATATATTCACAATATTGAGATAAATAAATATCCAGACTTTTTAGTGACTAGTTCAATTAGATTGTCCATAAACATATTTCATTAAACAGTATTTGAATGTTTAGATCACTTTTTAAACTATTATAAGTTATAAATAACACCCTTAATAGCGTGTGATTTAAACTCCTAAATAAATTATTAATTTATATTTATGACGGACTCACCCTTGATGGTAATAATAATAAATAAACAAATGAATCCAAGTGACAGCGCTAGACTCTAGCTCTGACATTCATGATAGTGTTGATGACTTAGCAATGCGTCTAACTATATATCAACCATTAAGGTTTAATTATTGTTATTAAGATATTAAGTTATATTTATTAAGTTTCGATTCCGAATTGGCAAGACGGTGATTCCGGGAACGTTGGGTTGGTATTGAAACCAACCCAACGTTCCCGGAACAGGATGGCGACGCTCGCTTTAATGGGATTTATTACGGGGTTATATTAATTACAGCGGCTCATTTGTCATCATTGTGGTTATGTCACAAACAGTCATATGTATTAGTCAAATGTCGAGAAGTGAAGTGTTACAAAACTAGACAATCTTAATATGTTTGCTACAAGTTATATGTGGAATCAATTGACTATTATCTATGAGATATCCCATTTGAGATTATAGTCGTGAGGTGAAAAGGGTTACAAAACTAGACAATCTCTAACAAGATAGATGCAAATTATATAGTCCTGTTCGCAGCATTAGACGTTATCTTTTCACGATAAATACTGAACGGATCTTAATGAAAAATGATATATTATATCACGAGATTGGATATTAGTTGTGTGTATTATCTAAAAAAACCGATTAATTTATTTGTAATAGTTTATGTTAATATAGAAGCCTGACAGAGTTATGAGCACCCAAACAAAGCCGGAGCGAGTCAGTTTATTCTATACCATACTAGTATTTAGAACAACAGTACGTTTTTGTTTGTAAACCGATTGGAATTGAAGTAAAGTTTATCACAATACATTAGCGAAAACTGCATCCAAATCGGTTAAGCCGTATCTGAGATGAACGCGTGTGCGAATGCGCATTTATTGTGTAGATTTTATTACGTAGATAAAGTTGCCCAATAATAGTTTTCTCATATATTTTCAGACAGTGATCTGTTACATTTTTGTTATAAGTCTAGATAAAAAAGTAAAGATGCAATCTCAAGCAGTCGAATCTAAAAATGTTTTATCATTAAGATGGAACATTGAACGGCGATATTACATAAAGACAAGATAATAATTGATGGTTTTGATGTTATCTCTTTGACCATATCGAGCACGTGATTGGCTTAAATGTATATTTTTGCATAGTCCATGATGTCTATTGCAATAATTACGAAAGTCTTTAATTTTTACATTAGTCAAAATACAGATATAATAATATCGCTGTTCTATTTTCAAAAAAAATATAATTTTTAAGAAACGTTAAAAGGCTAAGTCGTAAACATGTAATATTACAAAAAATAATAATAAATTATATATCTAACAATTTTTTCTATTTAGATGTCACACTGTCTCTCATTCATGTATAATTATACAAATATTGTAAATGCGAAAGTATGTTTAATTGTCAATCTGTATATTATCTTTTTATAGTCAAACGACGGAACGGGTCTTAATGAAATTTGGTGTGAAGATAGATTGTATCCTGAGAACGAAAATGGACTATGGCTTTACGACTATACCTATTATCTAAAAGTAAGTAGGTAAAGTTGCGGGTGACAGCTAATTATCATATAATCAAAAAACACAAAAAACATGTTACACTTTCTCCCAAATATGTTTTGTCTAATTCAATTCCGAGCCTCAATAAGTGAAAATCGTTTATCGTTATCGCTAATCTGTTTCTTTTTTAGTTTTGTTACTATTTGGGTTATGGTAAGTGAGATTTTATATTATATGTACGGAATCCTCTGTGAAAGTACAAAAAGCGCTTGAGAAGATATAAATTCGTTTTGTTTAATTTCATACTAAGACTCAAAAAGCGAAAAATTAACAAGAAATATATTTTTTGCAGTTAAATGCAACGCGATACATTGAGTTTAATCATTATCTTATCATATGTAGTATCTAACTACGCATGAATTTTGACGGAAATGATAAATATTGTGATGCAATTTTTATCTATATTTATGTAGGTATAGCTATATATTAGATAAAATAAAATAAACTTACTACTTATTACAGTGGTAGCAGTAACTAGGATAATATAGTTATGAATTTCACTATGGTTATTACAATATTAGTAGGTATAGTAATAATAAATAGTATGTACATTTTTAAAAGCAATTCCAAATTTGAATTTTTTTTCCTGAAATATTATTTATTTAAAAAGTATAAAAATCGAATACTATAAATAACTACAACTAAACTATCACTAAATTCTCTAGATTTCAAAACGAAATAAGAAGAGGTGAAATTAATTTTGAGTTGAGAGTATATGTTTAAAGTTTCTTATTTTATGTTTTGTGTAAGTAATGGCCCGTACAAGAATAATTTACATTTTATAATTTAGAAACATTAAAAGATCAAAAATATCAAACATTGTTCAATAGTAGTAAATAATTGGCTGATAACGTAGACATTGTGAGCATACAGTATGAGCTTATCAGTATTAACTTTTAAATCCTATTTCTGAGTTCTATATAAGATATATGACATTAAAAACTAAATTACGATAGAAAAAGTAGGTTCTCATATGAATCACCATCAGTAAACCATAAGTTATTTATATCGCGGTGAGGTCATACGAAGTCTACATCACAAAATGAGTGAGTTGATGAATTTATCGACAAGTGTCAGACAAGCCCACCTTCAATATCTCGAGTGGTTGATTGAACGTGATTTATATAGTGGGATGGTGGGTGGATACATCACAGTTTTAGTTTACAAGTTGACGCCGAAGTTAGACGGGAGTTTGCCAACAAACTACAACAAGTAAGTCTCGCTTTTGCAGATAGTAGCAATCTTTTGACAATATCTACCAATCGTTGTTATAATACTCAGTTCTATAACTAACATACATTATTGTTACTTAATATTATACAGTCTATTCCTGTCAAAATTTACTTGTTACTTTTGTATTTTTAAGTACTCGGTAATTGTTGTATAGAACGAAAATTATGAAACCCTAATAGAAAATTAGTTTTTTTATATTATATATATGATAACAATAAAAAACTGCTTGACAGGATTTTGGGCAGCCATAGATCCGCATTTCAAATCAAACGGGGATCGAAATTACGACAGCCTGAGCCGAGGTTCAAACTATTATCGGTGCTCTCAGACTAAAGTCGTATCCTTCAGGCGGGAGTTGGTTTTCAGCCGCTCCCTAAGTCCTTCCGCCTCCTACCTTCCGGTGAAACTGTAAAGGGTAGCTGCGGCCAACAGCTATAGAGTAATTGTAAAAAAATAAGTTTTTGGCGCATTTTAATTAACTACATTGTCAATTGAAATATAATTAAACTTCAAGCCCAATACAGAACTACTGTTACTTACTATTACAGAACTGCTTTTAATTGCTGCCCACATATAATATGCTGCGGTGTTTCTTCATCTTCTTGGCCATATCTGTAATTACTTTTTATATTATATATTAGATACATACATACCAATAACATAAATACGAAAGTGTGCGCCTGTCTGTCTGTTTCTTATCTTTTTGTGACTAAACTAAACATGATGTTTTACTTCTAATGATCGTGAGTTTAATCCCTCTCACGATGCAAATATTTGTATTTATGAGTTTGTATTGATTTGGGTGTTTTTGACATGTATAAAAATTTACATATTTAATAAATATTTTAGTTAATTAGTATTTTATTGCTATCTTGTACCCATAATACAAGCTCTGCGTAACTTAAGCCTAGACGTCGCAGTATCAATTGTTCTAGGTTTTTACTATTATTATTGTAATAACTATTTATTTGAATTGATAATACATACTGCTAAATAAATTATCACATGGCCAATAACCAGTTAATACATGATATAATCATAAACACACTAATCTCATCATGTGTACGATTATATGACATGTATAGTAGACTAATAGCAAAGATAATCGTAATTATCAATAATAACATTTATTATGGGTACAGGTTTGTATAGTCAATATCAATATTTTTAACCGACTTAAAAAGGATAGAAATATTAAATTACTATATAGTATTCTATTCCTTTTTTTATGTGTTACCGTTACTTAAGTAGTTTTTTATATAAATCTATATTGTATTTTTTTTTAAATAGATGTATATCGTGTGTATCCATATAAATTCAGTTAGAAATCAAATAAATAGAAAGTTTATAGGTTTTAATATCGGGTTTAACAATGAGTATTAATTCGCTTTTTAATTTTTATTATCGGCTAAGTACTTTATAACTGAATAGGGATTTTGTAGGGGTGCATTAAATTTAGGACAACCTTTTTTCATTGAAATAATCAAAGTTATTAATTTATTCTTTATTGCACTATAAATAAGGCATGCAATTGGCGAAATTAGTGCTATATGACATTCTATGCCTGTCATTTGGTGAACTGGTTACTAGGTGTGTTCTAGATTTTTGTAGATATGATAACTATGAAAAGCAATTAAATATTTCTTTTATTTTTTTATACAAAAAAATGATAATATTTCCTCTTTATGATATTCCTTTAGACAATAATAGATTTTCTTATAATTTTTAATCGGTTTAGTTAATTTATACGTTATTTCTTATTTTCTGTTTTTCTCACTTATAGACTACAACAATGACTACAGTACCAACCGTGACAATGGATGAACTGTCAAGAGGCTTACAAGACACCACCATCAGTTCCAACGCGAAGAGAGTTCTAGAAGGCATCCTGAATGATTTTATGGATCTCCAATTCGGCAAGGAAACTCCTTATACGACCGGTGAAACGGTTATACCATCCGGCTCTACTATCGACGATGTCAACATCGGTGCCGCTGACGCATCGATAGAGAAGAGATTTACAGATATCTTTGTGAAAATTTCAACAACTCACAGTAATGGAGATTTAACTCCGCAATCTTCGAACCAAGGCTGGGACCCGAAGTTGACGCCCGTCCTTGTATTTGTAACTGCTAATAATTAATTTCCGATAGATATGTGTGAGTGTGTGTGAGTGGAAGATATATCTGGTAAAAGGCAGCAGGGCAGGGGGCGGGGGACTTCGATTGCTCGAAACAAAAACGAATGCAGAAGATTGTTTGGTTAAATAATGATTGGAAGAAACATGAATAATTATTAAGAATCTATCGTTAATTGTAATTTAAAAGTATTATTACATAAATTTAATAATTAAATTAAATAAAACAGTAATTATAAAGAAGTGATATTATTTACTATTCACATTCGTGTAATTAATAACCTAATTGCTGCTGATGTTTCTTTGTCTTCTTGTTCAACTGGCACAAAATTTAATATAGTACGGTCAGCGATTTATAAGCAAATACGAATGATTATATTTCATGGTTGTACATATGATTGTTCAGTTGATTTTACTACCGTCAGTACAAATTGCTCTACCTTTTATGACCGTGATAAAATTTCAAGGACAAATAGGCCATGAAGTAGTCTGTATCTAGACATATAAACGAATCAATATACGTACTACGTAATAAAACTACGGCATACTAAAAGATATCATCCGATAAAAGATATCTCATTGTAAACTGATAATCATCATTACCATACCTTTATTATAACATTATTCGTCTGCTCTTTTTGTGATAAATGATATTATGTCTTCTTCGTCCTCATAACACGGGCTATCTTCAAGACTGAAGTTTCATTAAGATTCGTTTAGCAGATTAGTTATGAAAAGTTAACAAACGATATATGATCAGATCTTTGGATTGAAGTGTAACCTAAAAAAGTATAAATTTTAAAATTGTCCTAAGCTAATAAATTCAGGAAAATATAATAATATATTCATAATAATATATTCACATATTATTATTATTATGTCATAATTATTAATGGTTATGAACTCAAAAGGTAGTAAAATAAAGTATTTTAGTTTTGAATAAAACAATTTTGTTATTTCTTTAAACATAAAATCTTTCTCTAAATAGTTTGTTTCTTTTTCACTAGTGATTGATCGAATAGATTTACAATAAACGGTTGACCCCAATCTGCTGAATGTGTATGTGATCGAATGGAAACCAAATCGAAAAGATGTCAAATAGTATATTTGAATACGCTTGATTCATATTGAAATGTCATACGAATGTAAGTAAAAATAAAGAAAAGCAAATAAACTTTGTATAAAAAAGTCTTCATTTATACAGACTATTTATTTTATCACTTAACTACCGAGTGTGCACGTAATTTTTTTATTAATATTCCTATCTTACCCTTCAGTTAGGCTAACTAATTCAATTGATGTACTCGTAGTTAGCAAAAGAACTGGCTAGAAACTCAAATTGAACAAGAGTCAAAAGAATGAATGTTATTTTACATTCAGTCTTTTACCATAGCAATATATAATACATAATCTCAATGTATCCGAGTATACATATATATATATACTTGTATATCTAACATCTTAACTAATATTATATTAAGATGGAAAAGTTTGTGAGTTTGAATGGTCTACCGCGAACATTCAAACTCACAAACTTTTCCATCTTCGGTACTTCCGATCCGATTTTGAAGATTCTTTTAGCGTTGGATGTGTAGGATATATTTATATATATTGGATTTAGCTCACTTTCTAAGGCAGGCTAAAGCCTACATAACATCACGCTATGACTAAAAGCCAAAATATCACAGAAACAGGGAATCTGTGACGCAGACGAGGTGGCGCGTAGGCAACTAGAATTAAATATAGGTGCAGAAAATCCAGTTTATGAGCTACTGACTACATACATGGTCATCTCCTAAGTAATGGTTTACATTGTAATAGACTTTACTCAATAAGATTTCTTAATGAATATTCTCGATTTATTGAACAGTAATTCCAAAATCTTTCAGTATCTTATTGTAGTTATTTTTTTTTGTTTTAATGTATTTGTTAATCTACAATCAAAATTTAATACGCAGAGATATAAAGGCAACGTATATTACATATATATTGTATTAATATTTAGTCAATTTGAAAATTATTAAATTTTTGTACAAAGAGAACTGGTTTTGTTTTTACTTTTATGAGGTATGAACTTTAGTCCTACTCAAACAATGACATACATATGTATATTTAGCGAAATTATTATCTATATTTTATCAATAAACTGATTATAAATTTATCCTGTATGTACATCTTTATCATCTTGTATTGACAAACGTAACTACCATAATGAATGACTTTTAGTAGCGGCTATACGCAAAAAAGTTTAAATTATAATCTCTAGATTACAATAGCTACGAATTTTATTATTAAGATTAAGGAAGTTATTATAATATTGTAATTTATGATCAATAAATTACCGACTGTGTTTATTATTTTACAGTATTAATTAAATCCCTCAATCTAATCTTTACTACTTTGATGTATTTCGCAACAATTTAACTCTAAGTACATTTTTATATTTCGCATAAGGTATTATACTTTCGTGCAAAACGCAGGTATGTACACTACAGTTCTGTTTTGTTATTTATTTACAATTATGTTAGTAAGACGACAAGTTATAGATAACATAAGTGTGATTCATAGTGTTATTTGTTATTAATATTTCTTATTGTACAAAATTAATAGTTTCTTTTAGGAATTCAATCATTAAACTAATATACTCTTTAGTGAATTATACAATAGAGACGAAGAAATAACAGTTGACAGTTTCAAAATGTCAATGAAACGTATATCACAGATATTTCCTTCTTCAAAACGTATAATCACTGTGTTGTATTCTGAGAGTTTCAATAATAGATAAAACTGAATTATTTTTTAGGTCAGAATAAAACCATGAAGGTATTTGTACTTGCTCTATTGGCGGTAGCCGCGACCGCTGCCCCTATTGACAACGTTGAACCAGTGGAACTTATTGTGAATGGAGTACCAGAAGGCGAACCATTGGAAATTGGCGATATCGTCAGCATTAAACTGAAGGAACATGAAAACAACGAACTTGTGTCCTCGACTGACTTGCTTCACCCCTTGACCGCCGCCGGACTCGCTGAAGCCGCAGCACAGCAACCCGACGCCGTTCAGATCGTCGACGGTCCTGAAACTGTCCAAATCGTTGAGGGCCCAGAAGCTGTGGAAGTCGTCGATGTCCCAGAACCTGTTCTAGTCGTCGAAGACGCACAGCCTTCCCCAATTGTTCTCCCTGAACCTGCTCTTCCTGAAGTGAACCCACCTGCTCTTCCTGAATCGAACCCACCTGCTGGGGTCGAGCATCCAGTACTCGTGATTCCCGACTTGGATCTTAACCCTGTCGATCTTGTTCCATTGCCCATTTCTCCCCCTGAATCCGAGTTGGTGGTAGCACCTGTAGAAATCCTTCCAGAGGCCGTCCCCCAGATTCCCAATGGTGAAATATTCAATGATGGTGTTGTTCAAGTCACAGTAAACGCTCCAGAAGATCCCGGACTATTCGGCACTCTCCAATCTTGGTTCAGCATGGCAGTCAACTACTTCAGTCCTGATGGCGTGCAAACCACTCACCAGATTGTCTAACCTGTAAATTGGTTTCTTTATTTACATCTATATATACTTTCATTTATTATGTATTGTATATAAACAAAACTGTGATGGTTGAGAGTAAATATAGATTGGTTTAACTCTACTTTGTATTGTTTTTTAAATAAATAACAAAACATTTAAGCTCATTAAAGCAAATATAAGCTCATCATAGTTTTTCCTTTGGTATAGGTCTAACTTCCTATGCCGTGTCAGTCACAAAGGGTTTTTCCTAGGAGTGCTAAGTGTAAGTAACTTCACAACTTTGTTCTCGAACCGTTATAATTAGATATCCAAGTTGAATGTAGGCTATGGATTATTACAGCCCAAGTACCAAGGTTTAGTATTACTGAAAAATTACTGAACGTAAATAAATTTGTTATGTTTATTTGGCAGTCTGTTTGTTTCTCTATATGTCAAATAGATAAGGTATATTAGGGTTATATTTTTGATCACAAACCTTCACTTAGATATATAAAATTTCGACATTATTTATTTCTTAATAAAAATCACGATAGGCAATAACTCTGTAATACAAATTCTGAATGAAAATTATTTTAATTATTTAAAATACGAATATGTATATACTCTATGCAAAGAGGGACATGTTAACCGCGAAGGACAAAATTTTCCTTTAACTATGTATTTGTACATTATACATAAAACAATCAATCAAATTAAAATAAAATCAAAATATTTTTTACTCATTTAGGTCTATTACAGACCAAATACGGTAGATTTGATATGTCAAATCTACCGTCAGTTCAGAGTGCTTTCGAGCTGAGAAGAACTAATAAGAAACTCAGCTCAGCAATATAATTATGTATATTACGGTATATTTTGTACAATTTAGGTACACCCTTAGTAATTATTTGTTCACATTTAACAACATTATTTGTATCATATTTGCCTACGTGGGTCTCTTAGTTTAATGCGTAACATATGCAAATAGTAATAGTTGGGAGTGGTAGGTAATAAACAGTAACTATTTCGCAATTGTGTCGAAATAGATTTTGGCACGTTCTCAAACAAGTTTAGGCAACTTCGGTTACTTAGGTCGTTAGTATGGACGTTGCTTACAACCGAAACTTGTGAACGGCTATTGACAACTTGAAGCTATTATTGCGATATTTTTAGAGTAAATATATACAAGTAACAATAAAAGAAAGGGCACAATGCACTTTTTATAGTGTTTTATACAATTTACAGTGTTATTTATGGTTTAATATAATCTTTTTAAAGTATAAATATTAATAGTTGTTTACAAAAATTTGGAACAATAATAATAATCATAGATGTACAAAACAGCGCCATCTATCGCAAACTAAGAGCTTGTATTATAGCTAGTAAATGCCTAATAGAAATATTGATTCCTATTGAAAATACATTACAGATATGTAATACTAACGAAAACAAATGTTTGCAAGAATTAAACCTATAACCCTAGGTGGCCGAGGTAGTGCGTTAAACCGCTATATCACTAAGTTGACAAATGAAATAAGATGGTAATGTTTATTCTGTGGTATTAGATAATGAAGCACAACCAACAAAACAGGCTGATATGTAGATAAGATGGAGGGACCCACATACACATAAAGTAAATATTATAAGTTACTAACATAATTTTATAAGTTTTTACTAACACAATATGGATGTAATCCGAATTAAAATTAAATAAATAAACGACTTTGTACGAAGTCGATATTGACAAAAATATTTAAGGGCATACATTAAAATATTCACATTAAAATATTATAATTAACTAGTTGTGCCCGTGGTTTCACCCGCGTTAAATTTCAATAAAAAATATAGCCTATGTGTTATTCTGATACATAGGCTATATTACTGTAAAGTTTCATCAAAATCCATTTAGTAGTTTTTGCGTGAAAGAGTAACAAACATCTATACTAACAAACTTTCGCGTTTAAAATATTATTATTAAGATTATAAAATTAGATGCAAGTTTGCGTGTCTCTTTCATTAGTTATGAAACATCTATTCTAATATTGAATACTGTATAATCAATTAGTCAAGAATTTATCATCCCATAAAAAAGATTTAATGCTCTTTCCTTAAGAACTAGGTGCTCGCCGTAGCCACTTTATAGTCATGCACCTGTTGCATTTTAAACGCTTCACGATTACTATCTGTCTTTAGGGGTTGGTAAGTTGGTATCAGAGAATTAAATCTTGCGATAAAATTGTATTTATAACATCATTTTGTCAAAGTTTTTAACAAAAAAAAATATGTTCTACTTTATTTGTATTTACCAAATTAATGTGTATGCTATATATTTAATAGACTAACTAGAATGTATGTAGGCTAACTAGAATTATATATGTATAATAAAATAATTAAAACCTCCTGATTTATGAAGTCGGTAAAATTAACAACCTCTACAATATTTAGTGCCTAGTCAATGTTTAGTATTTTCCATAAAGGCAAATTAGTTTGTATAAGCCTTCCTTAGCAGTAGAAATGAAAATGTTACATTTTAAGGAAGGTGTTATACATGAATGTGAATTGTTATAAGATCAGAGGAAGACTGAAAAGGAGATAGCTGGACTGTGTGAAAGATGATATGGTATGAAAGAGATTAAATAACGAGATGACTGCGAACAGGTATAAATGGAAGAGAAAAAGATATTACGCCGACCCTAAATAAATAGGATAAGGAAGAAGCAGATGATATGAGGTTGTCTTTTACCTTTAAAAAAAGCAAACGAAGTCGAAGTTAACCACTAGTAACTATATATTTTATGTTAGAAAAGAGTCGGGATACAAAATAAGCTCGAATTTTCGTAGAAATTTCCGACTGACGGGTAAGGCCTGGCCTAGTGTACTAGATTTACGCAGATTTGTCGGTAATAGATTTTATATAATACGAACATCCTGGGTTCCTATATATACGAGTTTGTACGTATACATATATGTAATATTTTGTTATCTGTGGTAAGACTAACTTATACGTAATTCGTACAATAATAATATTTAATACTTAAAAAATAATAAAACTGAGTTGAAATGATTAGGCTTTGTCATTATAGTAGTAATATATATTACAAGTTGGTTTTTAATTTAAATTAGCACATTGAGAATCCATATAAGTTTGACAAAACTTGGTCAAATAGCAAATAAGCCTGAGCCGGTCATGTAAGTAAGAGATAAATATCCAATGGACGTGTATTGGTATTCGTTCAAGGAGGAATACGATGGAATTTATACAGTCCATAAAAGAAACGTATGTAATGGTTTTAAACTGTTCAACTATATTTGCTAATAGATTTTCGGCAGGATCAATAGAACAAGCAAACATGTTTATTTCTTTATTCATTTTAATTAAATACAAATGATAAAAGAAAGAAATTAAGCTATTAAAACAGACAAACATTACTTAATAGTTATGTTTTATTTTTTGGAGTAATTAGTCACTAATACAATAGTTTTACTAAAAACTTGGAGAAATTGTCTCTCATACCTTATCTAAGTAATTATTAAAAGATATTTTTGATGTGGTAACATATTACGTCCATTTGTCTCGTACGTCTTTACGTATTGGATATCTAATTCAATTTTATCATACTTTATCCTCTATGTTAATGTTTCATTGAAGAGTTTACATTAATTTGTAATTGAGGGATATTGAGAATAAAATTAATTCGGCATGACTTCGTATTTCAATATTAAACTGTGAAACCTAATTTTCATAATTACATTGTTAACTTTCACAAAAAATGCAAGACTTTTTTTTGTCTGTTCTTGTTACAATCTGACTGTGATTAACAGATTATCAGACAGACGTGCACAATTTTCAAAATTAGTAATTATATCCCATAATTAAGGTGAACCGATGGTATATCTAGAAATGAATCCTAGGGATTTTAATTCTTTAAGGTCTGAACTATCGTACTAAGGATATACATAGAAAATTCGCCCCTACTCAAAGTGTGATGTTTAGGAATAAGGATAAGAATAATTAGTTCTAACAAAATTAACAGCAGTTGTATACGTTACATAAATTGTTAACAATATAAGTAAAAATAATATTTTTAAGTAAGGTAAGAATCTCGCACTATATGAATACGACTCATTTTTAAATTTTATATCATTAGGTCGCAACTTATAATAGAATCGTCAGTTGGTAACATGTTTTAAAGAAAGACCACTTGTTACAGTGTCCATTAACAATATAGACAAAATATTTTTATGTTTACATAGTTTATTAAAAGAATAAAATTTAGCTATATATATAAATAAAATAATTTGCTTCTTGTATCAAATTAGATATAGAATTATATTGGAGTACATTTTGCATTAAATAAAAATATAATAAAATGAAATGACATACCATACTATATTATATCATAATATAATCTTTTATATATAGTAGTAATGTATGGAATGTAATGTTGCTCTATTGTGTAACTATTAAAATATGTGTACTTTGAAATATGGATAAACATATTGAATTAGAATATTTAGTCACACAGTCGTATTTCACGTTCCTTCATTAGAAAGGCATCAGAGCTAACAAAGTCCTAACTAAAAAGCGCAAACAGCCAGGCGTACATTAGTAGTGGTGGTTTTAATACGTTTTTTAAGAATCACAAACAAAGCACGAACCGGCACGCATGTGTTGTCACGCAAGCAGTTAACACGCCACTTGTGGTCGATTACACCGCAGTGGCCGGTCGATCGACCTATGAACCTGCTGTCTAAATATTTTTAACACTTTCATAGACATACGAGTATATTCTTTCACTTAATTCTGGCGCACAACCGTTTTTTATGTAATTGTTAAATGACAAACAAGCTGACAGATCTCTAGATAGTAAGCGATAACCATTGCCTATATGCTCGTATATGAACAGCAACCACGGTCATCTCGTTATCATATTGATTAATTAATTAGATATGCACCTATCATAAGTATAAGTGTATAAAATTTCAGTTTTAATAATCATTGCACTTTTTTGAGTTTGTTGCATGATATCGGGATGAATTTGCAAAAATTTTTAAGATCCTTAATAAATAAATATCATTTTATATCACTGATGCGTTGCCATTCCAGTGGTTTAAGATGTCTAT